TGTCGCCCCCCCCCCCATTACTGGGAATCGAACTCACAACCTTGGGCTTGCCAGGCAGGTCTGTGCCGCTGAGCTAAATCCCCAGCCCCAGTTTCTCACTTTCTGAGATAGTGTTTATTATTTTATAACTTTCTTAGATGCTTTTTTCCCAGTGAAGCTCATCAAACTTTTCTCTGTCCCTTTTCTAGGCTCTTTCTAGAGAGAGCACCTCAGGGAGCAGACTTGCTTCTCCTCAAGTGTTCTCTGCTATCCCGCCACTCTAAGTTGTGGATTTCCACTTGAGAGTGCACATTTTAAACACATTCTCAATTTATCCTTTTAGCTGGTAAGCTTTTATAACTTTGTGTTTGATCAGAGATACAGTAAAATGTCAAGGGTTCTAAAATGATCACAATGTATCTAGCACTGGGTAGTCTGGAGAATGAAAACAAAGAGGTATAAATCATGTTTAATATTTACTAATAAATATCAAAGAGAAGTCATCCCTTCAAATAGTTCATGCTTCATTGAAATGAGTTACATACATGAAATCATCAGAGAATATAATAAAATACTAAATTATACATTGGCAGCAACTATTTTAGAGTCTGCCAGCCGGGACTTTCCTATTCTGTTTCACTGTCCTCTCTGAAAAAAAGAGCAGACTTTCGTTTTTCTTGCTGAACGTGTTTTTGTTTGGAAATAAGCAGGGGCCTACAACTGTGTTTATGGTGATCTTTAGCTTCGCTCTCTAAGAATGTGCAACTGAATGTTACTCTTTGCTCCGCCCATGAGGTAAAGAAAGGCAATATAGCAAGGACATGAGTAATTCAGATATATTTGGGACTTAAAATCTTTGGTCAGGAAACACAGTCTTAGGCATTTGATTTGGGTGCACTGTTTTGAGTTAATTTTAGGGGTAATGTTTGGAATCCTTGAAAAAATTCTAGTGTGAAGTGACAGTTCTTTGCTTAGTCTTGGAGTGTTCAGTGTTAAGCCAAACACAGGATACTGAGACAAGGGACTGTTCCTGTCTCTTAGCCTTGTCTGGCTGCGACATTTGAGGAGAAGAAAAAAGTACACCAGTGGCTGCAGACCTGTGTCGCCTGTGGTGCACCCAGCTATTTGTTATCCTTGAAACTCTAAAAAGTTTGCCACTGCTTCTCTATTCCAAGAGTTGGGCTGTTACTATGTTGCAAAGTCCTGTTTGCCGTAATTCCTGGTGGTCTTTATTAATCTTTCAAGAAGTCATCCAGTGTGATATATTTAAGAATAATACGGCAGTAAAGTGACCCAATGACTAATGCTATTTTCCAGACTTGTAGTGGTTTGCTTTATTTTCTATACTGTTTGTTGTGGGAACTCCCACAGAGGGAGCTCCTGATTTTGAGAAGCAGAACTGGGACACAGTACTTTTCAAGAATGTGCTTCTGTAGTTTTAAATTGTCTCCGGGGAGCAATAGTGTGTTTCACTAGCGCGTTATTATGAATAGGAAGAAGGATCCTCTACCTTCTCCATTCATAGCTCCACTCATGAGCAACACACGTCTCTTTACCTAAGGAAAAGCGCCAAAATTTTGTTTTTCTGGCCTTCCCCCTGCTTTTTTTTTAAGCAAGCAGAAACTTTTTAACTAAAAACTGAAATGCATCCAGGCTAAGTGGATTCAAATAACAACATATACCCTTATGTCCTTGCTGCTTAGACATCCACAGAAAGAAAAATTTCTTTCTCTTCCCTCCTTTTTTTAGTGTGCAGCCTGTCTTAAATTTGGATATTACTACACCTGTGTGTCTTGACCAATGATCAGAACATTTGTTACTGTTTTTAATAAGAATTTGTCGGGCTGGGGATATAGCTCAGTGGCACAAGTACCTGCCTGGCAAGCACAGGGTCCTGAGTTCGATTTCTGGTTCAAAAAAAAGTTACCTTATCCCTTCCAAGAGTCTGTGCCTGGCCAGGAAACCATTTTCTCTTTAGTTTTACCAGCTGTAAAGTGTCATATAAATTGAAGAGTGTCATATAAATTGAATCATACATTATGCACTCTTTGTGTCTACTTTATAAAACTAAAAAAAAAAATTAATTTTAAAAAATTTTACCTCCTTTGCAGTAGCAGGGTTAGAACCTAGTGCCTCATACATGTGAAGCAAGCGCACGTTCACTCAGCTATGCCCTTAGTCCCACGTCTAGCTTCTTTTGTTCAGCGCTGTGTCCGAGATCATCTGTGTGGTTGCATTCCTCTGCTTGCTGAGTTGTAGTCTGTTGTGTGAATACAGATGTAGTTTGTACACTGGTTCTCGTAATTGTGAACATTTGGGCTCCTTTCAGGTTGTTTTTCCTTTCCTTTCAGTTTTTGCATTTATGTTGTGATCAGTGATGTACAAATCTTTGGATGGACTTATGCTTTCATTTCTTTTGGATAAATACCCATAAGTAAAATTGTTGGATCAAAGGACAAACGTGTGGTTAATTTTATAAGAAACTGCCAACCCTTTTTCTAAAAGTTACACCATTTTACATTGCCACTGGCAAAATATGAAAATCTAGCCAGGCGTGGTGGCACACATCTGTAATCCCAGCACTCAGGAGGCTGAGGCAGGAGGATCCTTGGGACTTCGAGACCAGCTTGGGCTACAAAGTGAGCTCAAGGCCAGCCTGAACTGCATAGTGAGACCCTGTCTCAAAAAGACACATACACAGACACACACAAAGAAAATCTGATCACTCCACCTCCTTGCCAATATTTGAGTGCAGACTTTAATTTTGGCTCTTATAAGGTATCTTTATATATCCTCCACAGAATAAAACGTTTGATTTTGAGTTTCATGGTTTGGCTTAAGAAAGTTAGAAATAATCTACAATTTAGTACAGTTTTTTTTGTTGTTTGTTTGTCTTTTGTTTTTGGTCTTTTTGAGATAGGCATACGCCACCATGCCCGGCTTAGTACAGTTTTTAAGGCCCTTCTAAAATTAAAACTAGAGTAGGTGCTGACTGAGATTCAGGATATGAGCTGGGCATCATGGCATATGCCTTTAATCCTGGAGTTTAGGGGACAGAGGCAGGAGGTTTACTGTGAGTTCAAGGCCAGCCTGAATTACATAGCAAGATCCTGTCTCAAAAAAAAAAAACCAAACCCCAAAAAACAACATTCAGCATAAGGTGCCTGCTAATCTATGGCTAGAGTTTGTGGGGACAGATTTTTACTAATACTTTTTTTTTTTTTTTTTGGTCTTTTTGAGACGGGGTCTTGCTATGCAGTTCAGGCTGGCCTTGCGCTCAGTTTGTAGCCCAGGCTGGTCTCGAACTCACAACGATCCTCCTGCCTCGGCCTCCCGAGTCCTGGGATTACAGGCATGTGCCACCACGCCCGGCCCTTTACTAATCCTTTATATCTGTTTTAGCATCTTACATCTCCCAAAATATTTTCTCATGTATCTGTTCTTATTTTTTATTTTTATTTTTTATTTTTTGGTTTTTCTCCAGTACCGGGAACCGAACTCACGACCTTGCGCTTGCGAGGCAGGCGCTTTGCCGCTGAGCTAAATCCCCAGCCCCTCATGTATCTGTTCTTGACAGCAAATGCAGTTCCCATCTTGTAATTGAAAGGGGAGGACCTTGCCTGAGATTTGCCTGAGTTTTCAGGGATGAAATGTAGGACTTCTGACCTCCTCCAGTACCCTTCCCTGAGCCCCTCAGAGTGACTAACATGCCATCTCAGTAAGATTTACTCCCCAGAATGTTGTATCACTTTGAAATATATACTGGCCATCAATTCATTCTTTTCATGAGGCTTTGAAGGAATCCTAAAAGTTGTTTTAGTCTTTATAGTAGATCACGGGGGGGGGGGGGTTTAAAGTTACCGTAGTTGCCTTTCTGAGAATAAAGATGTTACCAAGTATACTGGTCCACATTGTGTGTGTGTGTGTGTGTGTGTGTGTGTGTGTGTGTGTGTGTGAGAGAGAGAGAGAGAGAGAGAGAGAGAGAGAGAGAGAGAGAAAAAAAACACTGAAGCAGTGAATAAAGCAAAATTTATTAGGGGCTGGGGATTTAGCTCAGCAGCACAGCGCCTGCCTGGCAAGCACAAGGTCGTGAGTTCGATTCCCGGTATTGGAAAAAACAAAAACAAAAAACAAAGAAAAGCTTATTTAGCACAAGGTTCTCAAGAGCATGGCACTGGCAAAGGCCAATGGCAGATGGCATTACCTGGTGGGAGATGATACAAAGGCGGAGAAATGCTTTAAAGAGACGGGCTCTTCCAGTGTTGTCCACTCATAGGCTCAAATGATCTTCCTGCCTCAGCCTCCCAAGTGCTGAGGTTGCAGGAATCTGTGCCTGACAGGAAATACATTTAGAAGGGAGGCTCAAGGAGGGTGCCAAGCTCCCTAATAACAGCTCTTTCTCAGGACCTAATCCAGCCCCTTGAGGCCCGCATTAATCCCTTCTTAGTGGTGTCCCTGTAACCTGATTACCTTCCACTAGGCCTTGCCTTTCTTTTTTTGGACACAGGATCTTCTTGAACTCACTGTGTAGCCCAGGTTGGCCTCAAACTTGCAGCGATCTTCCTGCCTCAGCCTCCCGAGTGCTGGGATTCCAGGCATAGACCGCCACACCCAACAGGCCTTACCCGCTTGACTTTCCACTACGTCAGCACTGGGGACCACGCTTCCAGTATATAACCCTTGGGGCTATATTCCAGCCAACTCCAAATGATAGCCCGGTTATCCTAGATTTATACTTCGAAATTCTGCATATAATTTCCAGAGTCCTTTTATGAACTCGTGAGTGGCTCCTGAATACGGTCTTTGGACACCCAGGCGGTTTTAGCAGCGAGTATCTGTCCTCACCTACATTGTTGTGGTCAGAGGACTGTCACAGCGGGTGAGCTGAATCGAGTCATTTAGATGAAACTCTACCGGTCAGTAATACTTGCGGCTTTCCAAAGCGAAGTGCAGGTACATCTTTGCAATAATAAATCTGTTCTTGCCCCATTGTCAGATATTTCTTTTTTGTTTTATTTTAGTGATGTCCTTGCGTTGCCCATTTTTAAGCAAGAAGAGTCAAGTCTGCCTCCTGATAACGAGAATGAAATCCTGCCTTTCCAGTACGTGCTTTGCGCTGCCACCTCTCCAGCCGTGAAGCTCCACGATGAGACCCTGACATACCTCAATCAAGGTTAGATGCTTCCTCATTCGTTGGTATTATTGCAGACTTGCTGGATTCGTGATAGTACCTAGGGACACACTTACGTAAAAAGCTAGATCTTTCTAGTGTGGCTCATTAGCCTAGAGGCCTTCAGAGATTTGAGTTTTAATGTCATATTTGACATATACTATTGGTTCTTTTGTCTGCCTGCCCATTTTTAGTTTTGCATTCCTTTTGTGTGTGTGTGTTTTGAGACAAGGTCTTGCCATGTATGTAGGTCAGGCTGGCCTTGAACTCGCTGCAGCCCAAGCTGGCACTGAAGTTGCAGCTGTCCTCCTGCCTTAGCCTTCCAAGTGCTGGGGTCTTGGATGTGCACCATCATGCCCAGCTGTGGAGCTCCCTTTTTCTGATCCATGTATCCTCGACGTCTCCTACTGTCTGAGAAGTATTACTGTCTTCAGCTCTACTAGTTAGCAATTTTATGGCTCTAGGCGAGTTGTTTAAACTCTTTTAAGTTATAGTTTTCTTAACTGTAGATGAGACTGATAATACCTTGGAAACGCTGTCAGTTCTGGGAAATAATATATGAAAGTGCTTAGCACAGTGCCTAGCATCTAGTAAAGGCTTACTGTTATTTTTCTAATACAAGGAATGTTATCTCATATATTCAACCAACTGAATTCTATCCTTTCTGAATCCAGGTAGATTAATTTGTGATGAGTGTAATAATGTGATTACGTTTTCTTTTAGGACAGTCTTACGAAATCCGAATGCTAGATAATAGGAAGCTTGGAGAACTTCCAGAGATTAATGGCAAATTGGTGAAGGTAAAAGAAGATGAATAAATCATTCTTCTACACAAATGATTTTCTTTGGGCTAATACTCTTTGGTTTCCATAAAGGGCTCAATGGTATCTCAGCTGCCACATTTGGCTGGCAGAGGAGCAGACTGGTGTGTTATTGGGGGGCAAGCGCCTCTCTTCATGTGGGGCTTTCAGAGCTGCAGAAGGCTCACAGGTCCATGTCCAGGGTGGTCCTGTGGCTTAGTAAAGTTCTATTTTGTGGATTCAAGTAACCACCCCAAGATCTTAGATAAGTTTCTCTTTGGATAGTTGGGCCCATAGCAAGGAAAACAGAAACTATCATTGATGAATAGCAGTTCTCTTCGTCTAGACTGACCGTAAGCATTTTGAGAATTCATAGCACAGTTGGGACAGAGGAGTTTTATTGGCAGCTGTAAAAAGTGATGGGGGGGATTAACAGGCACTTCCACAAAGTAAGAGCAACAAAAAGAAAATTGATAGAAATGGATCCTGCCAAACCTCACTGTTCACAGGTTGTGTGGTGGGTTAGCAAGAAGAGGACTTGGTGAGTTTTTCATATACCCATGAAGAGCTGAGTGGCTTATTACAGGTATAATAGTAGAAGCATATGGAAATGCTTTACATAGATCCTGGTGTAGTGGGTGCATGCCTGTAATCCCAGCTACTCAGGAAGCTGAGATAAGAGTATCACAGTTTCCAGGCTAACCTGGGAAGCCTTGTGGGATGCGTCTCAAAATTACAAAGAGAGCTGGGCGTGGTGGCACATGCCTGTAATCAGGAGGCTGAGGCAGGAGGATCCTTGCGAGTTCAGTGCCAGCCTGGGCTACAAAGTGAGCTCAAAGCCAGCCTGAACTGAACTACATAGCGAGACCTTGTCTCAAAAAGACATACATACATACATACATACATACATACATACATAAATAAATAAATAAAATTGCAAAAAGAAAAGGGGAGAAATGTGGCTCAGTGGTAGAGTGGTGGTTTGGTATACATATGGCTCTGGGTTTAACCCCAGTACTGGGGAAAAAAATACCTCATGTAGGAGACCTTTAACATTTTAAGTAGTTATGCCAGTTAACTATAAAGATTCTATGTGATAAATTATAAAATTTATCCTGCAGCTTATTTATCATAAGACTTGGTATGATACAAGTGTTAGAGAGAAGTAGTTGTCAGGCAATTTTCGATTCTGTCTAGAGGCCAAGTGGTAGGAACTGCTTGTTTTCCTTTGTCAGCACTGACTTGTAAGGGTTCTCGCTGATCGATTTTGTTGTTCCTTGTAGAGTATATTCCGTGTAGTATTCCATGACAGAAGGCTGCAGTACACTGAACATCAGCAGCTGGAGGGCTGGAGGTGGAACCGACCTGGAGATAGAATCCTTGACATAGGTGAGTTAAGAGAGTCGGTTGCTTAGGAAATACCTTCAACCACAGACTCAGAGTTGATTTTCTTTACTTGGTATTTTTCTTGGTTCCTTGGCTTCAGAGACTTAATTAGCATGACCCTTGGAGTTGTTATTTAGGAAACATAAGCATTACCTGTATGATGATATAAAAATTCAAGTTGGAAGTATAAACAGTTCGGTTCTATAGCAATTGTATCCATTACTTGAGCGTGGTTTATTTTTGTTTTTAAATTGTAAGACATAATAGCATTCAATATAGTTTGTTATAATGGCCAGGCATGGTGGTGCATGCCTGTAATCCTAGTGCTTGGGAGGCTGAGGCAGAAGGATCCCTGTGAGTTCAAGGCCAACCCTAACTCAACCCTCATCTCCACAATTTTTGTAACGTATAACACAATGTATCATTGCAGCCATTTTGAGGAGTACAGTTCAGGTCATTAAGCACATTCACTTGTTGTACAGCTATCATCACTATCCTTCCCCCGAATTTTTTTTATCTTGCAAAATTGAAACTCCATATCCATTAAGCAGTAACTCTTCATCCCCACAGCCTCCTGCATGAATTGGGTTAGTCTGGGTCCATATAAATGACAGGTATATTTTATTACACTTTGGTTTTTTTGCGGGGGGGGGGGTCCATATAAGTGAAATCATTTATTATTTGTTGTTTTGTGACTACCTTCATTTACTTAGCAGTGCCTTCAAGTTTCAGCTGTGTTGTAGCATATATGTCAGAATTTCCTCTCTTGCTGTGCACAGTAATCCTAGCTACTCAGGAGGCTGAGGTAGGAGGGTCAGGGTCACATGTCTAAAGCCAGCCTGGGCAACTTAGTGAGATCCTTTCTCCAAATAAAAAAGATGGGGATGTGGCTCACTGGTACAGCACTTGCTTAGCAGGTGTGTGAGGGCCTGGGTTCTATCTCTAGCAACACACACACATACACATACATGATTTTCTTCCTGTTGAAGCCTGAAATATACCTATAAATGTATATTATATAATATTGTATAATATATGTATATTACATTTTGTTTACCCAGTCATCTGTTGATGGATGCTAGGGTTGCTTCCACCTTTGACTATTATAAATAATGAATGATACTGTGAACATGGGTGTAGTAGTTAAACTAATTTAAGTACTACTAATTTTACCTGGGGAAACTTTGCTTTTCATACAGATATTCTGAGATCTATAAAATAAATTGAGCTTAGGGTGAATCAAACACAATCAACACTATAGAGTGGGACCTACTTGATACTTTCTCCTTTGAATCATTGATGCCCAAGCAGTAGTGTACTTGAAACACAGTTATAATAACAGCCTTATCTCTTAACTTGAATATTAGAAGTCAAGGAATGAGATTTAGGTATCTGCCATGTAGACTACCAGCCAAGGCTCTATTGAAATCCAGTAAGTTTTACTCTGCTCCTGAGTATAAGATTGGACACTGCGTTATAGGATTATTTGATGATGTGGTAACTTAGCATCAATCATGGTGTTAGAATTTTTCCGTTTCTCTCTGTGAAGTACTACTTTGTGCTGTTGTACAGACACTGCTTCACATGTCTGCAGCAGTCCTCTTACGCTTCTAGCAGTAACACTGATCTTCAGACTGTACGTGAAACACATTATAAATTACAGTTTTCATGAGAGTAGAGCTAGTCTGTAGATTCAATCCATCTTTAAGTAGATTTTTTTTTTTTGAGTCAGGGTTTCACTGTGTAGTTCAGTTCGGGCTGGCTTTGAACTCACGGTAGCCCAGGTTGGCCTCAAGCTCATGATAATCCTCCTGCCTCTGCCTCCCCAGCGCTGGGATTACAGGCATGTGCCACCATACCTGGCTTACGTAGATCTTTTGGCAAATTAAAAGGAAACTGCCTTAAATTGTCTTATTTTAACAATTTAAAAGTGGAAAAAGGGTTTCTAGGAGGAAAATGCTTAATTTTAACAAACATTTTTTCTTGGTAGAAAAGACATTTAGGATATGATACACAAGAATCTCAGTAACTAGGGGTGAGACAAGGACCAGTGTTTTTTCACCTAAAACTGAGTAGCCCTCGATGTGCTGGTGCGTACCTGTCGTCCCGGCTACTTGGGAGGCTGAGACAGGAGAATTTTTTGAGGACAAGATTTTGAGATCTGTCTGGGCAACATAGTGAGACCTCATCTTAAAGAAACAAAAATAGGGGCCAGAGATTTAGCTTAGCGGCACAGCACCTGCCTGGCAAGCGTGAGGTCTTTGAGTTCGATTCCCAGTACCAAAAAACAAAAAAACCAAAACAAAGCAAAAAACAGAACTAAAAAGCTGTCAGTGTTGTTCAGTGTATACTACGCTCAGTGATTACCATTTTGTTTCCCAGATATCCCAATGTCTGTGGGTATCATCGATCCTCGGGCTAACCCAACTCAGCTCAATACAGTGGAGTTCCTGTGGGACCCTGCCAAGAGGACGTCTGTGTTTATTCAGGTGAGACACTAGATGGGGCCCATTGTGAACAGCATCCATCGCTGCTGGCTAGTTTCTTGGAGGATAAAATGTTGTACATGAAATCTCTGTGCTGTGCACACATTCTGCCACAGAGGTACACATCTCATCTGCACATCTGAGGTTCTAGCCTGTCAGGTGCAGAGTCTTCAAAGTGTGCCTGCATCCTGAGGAGTTTTTGAATTGCTTTTCTAAATATTTGAATTTTTTCACTTGTATTTCTCCAAAATGCTTATAATTCTTTCTATCATAACCTACTTAAGAATTATGTAGCATATAAATTGTTGTAATCTTTCCTTGTTATCCATAAAGTTATTTTGAGCATCTGTATCCTTTTTTTTTTGTACTGGAATTGAACCCATTGTACTGTATACTTAAATTTTGATTTGCACCAAGTATGGTGATGCATGCCTGTAATTCCAGCACTTGGGAGGCTGAGGCAGGAGGATTGTCTTGAGTTCAAGGCTAGCCTGGGCTACATAGTGAGTTCAAGGCCAGTCTGAGTTACATAGAGAGACCATGTCTCAAAACAACAAAAAATTGATTTGCATGTCTGATTATATCCTTTGGGTAGATTCTTCAAAAATCTTTATTTATATTAATGATAGTTAATAATTCATTGAGTACTTAACGTTTAAGTAAACACTTTGTATACGTGATCTTAAGACTTATGAGGCTTAGAGAGACCAGGTAATTTACCCAGGCTAGTATAGTTAGACAAAGCTCCACTGTTAAGATTCACCAGTTTTAAGGCTAGGATGTGGGTCAGTAGAAGAGCACTTGCCTAGTATGCATGATGCCCTGGGTTCAATCCCCAGCACTAGAAAGAAAAAAAAAAGATTCACCAGTCTTACACTTTATGCAATAGCCAAGCAAACCTTTCCCCTCCTATTTCTTCTTCTTTTTCTTTTTCTTTTTCTTTTTTTTTTTTTT